AAACACCCTTCTACAGAGCGGGTGGCGAAGTCACAGATTATAAAAGAAGTATAGGTGAATAAAAATTAAGTAGGTATAACAAAAATCGCCGCCAGTCGATTGGCGCCAGTCGCTGAAGTCGCCAGGATACTTATTATAATAACTTCGATGGCCGCGGCCCTTTTGAACAACTTGACTAAAGGAACTTTTTTTGTGGTATCTTAGATACTTTTTGGTATCTAAGTTACTTTTTGGTATCTAAGTTACTTTTTGGTATCTAAGATACTTTTCGGTATCTAAGATACTTTTTTTAAGTTACAAGATACAGTTCCTTTTAAAAAGTATCTAAGATACTAGATACTTTTTGTTAAAAAAAAAAGGAACTAAGATACAGTAACTTAGATACTTTAAAGTAACTTAGATACTTTAAAGTAACTAAGTTACTCTAAAGTAACTAAGATACTTTTTTCTGACAGCTCTGATTATTATACGAGAGATAATGAAGGCTATTATTCAGGAGGATGAGGTCATCCGAGTGGGGAAGAGAGGGGAGGCAGGCCGTTGGAAATATGCGAAATTTTGACCAAGTAAGATATGACGTCGAATTGAAAACATTTGTAGGGTATGTCGAAATGGAAACACCAAAACATAGACTCTAAGGTTCAAAACAACAGATATAGACTACTTAACTACAAGGAAACTCCAACCCAAAGTTGGTATTCCATTTTATATAAAAAGTCTATTATAAATTCCATAAACACCCCCTGGAATATTTAAAATATGTCATAATGCCTTTTTTGAAATATCTTTATTCTCTTATTAATTCCAGCGCATTCGCCATTATTTAATATAAGTAGATAATAATTATTATTATCTTTGACATAAATGTTAAAAGCATTTTAACTAAATATAACTCATATACTACTATGTATGTAATAGGTTTAAAATTATTATATCTAGCTTATTGTAAGCAAAAGCATCAGGTGTTTGAATATGGCTCATAATATATTTTTACGACACCGTAAACACCATTAAAGATTATCCTGGCCCAGTTTAAGAAATAAAATAAAGTGAAATTTTGCTTTTTTTGAGATACAGGGTGTTTTAGTTATAATTTTTTTAAGGTTTTCTAAGAAAATTTTTTTTAATATCTTTTCGTAAGTAATATCATAAGGGCATCTAATTTTTCCAAAAAAATCGAAAAAACACGTTGCTAAGTAATATTTTAAAAAGAAGCATGAGTGCTGGTGGCAACAAAAATCCGAGTCGAAGACGATGATTTTTGCACATGCACGATTGCATTTTGTTAAAATATATTACCTAGCATTGTGTTTTTTCGATTTTTTTCACAGGAAAAATTAGATGCCCGAATGGTATTTGACAAGACTATTTCATGAGTAACAGTTAACAATTAAAATATAAATTGCATTTTTTGGTGACAACAGCTGTCAAGTTTTGCTGACAGGTGCTGTCATACAGTTTTTCTATCTAGAAACCATTTTTAATTCAAAATTGCGCGTTTGTGATTGGTGGGAATTAAGACGAGGGAAATAGTCAAATGTAAAATATACATAGCGTTGTCTATAGTTACTACTAAAAATCGTAGATAAAAAAGTACTTTAACCGCAAGGATAGATAATAGTTTATTATGGGTCAAGTTTGATAAACGCCATTTTAAACACAAATTTTAATTAGAAACCAGCGAGCTTGTGAGCAAGTCTTTAATAAAAAAATGCCAGTGTAAGGTGTCAAACTTTTCTGTGAAGATCGAAATTTATCTTTTAAAATGGATTAACTGTTAAAGTTTTATGGGTATTATAATATTTAATAAATATGTATTTTTGTATTAAGATAATAAAATAATTTTCACTTTTACTGTTATTTTACAAAAAGGGAACCTTATTACGACGATTGTATGACATTTGATAACTGTCAGCTAACTTCAGCCCGTGACTATAACGCCATAAAGTCACATCTTATAAATGTACACGTGTATTTAAAAGATTACTTAGTGTCATGGAAACATGTACGATAATGAGCGTTTTAACTGTGGAAGTAGAAATTTTCGTGCAAAAAACAGTTCTAGGTGAATTTAATGTTGGGATGAATATTATTTATAAAATTTAAGAAAATATTTAACTGTAAAGCATGTAAGAAGTATGTTATCTACATAACGGTACCAATATAAGAAGTGTTGTATATTTGGGTATTTGTGAATGATGCGTTCTAAAAACGAAGATGTCAGCTAAAAGGTATATATAGGGTTGTGGAATTGACCAGTCAAATTGTTTTTGGTCAATTGACCAAAATAAAATTAAATAAAATATCAAAATAAATATTACTGTGATTTATTTGTGCTTAAAAAATAGGTAAATAAAATACGTTACCAATTATGTCCATCTTTAAAAAGTTATGTTTCGCTATTAAAAAAGATATGTCCCGCTTTAAGGGCAAAGCGCCGAGTCCGGCCTAGCAACCCCTCGATTCGGGGAACCACCAAATTGTAAATGATGTCGATATTGCACGATCGCAAAAATTTTGAGATTTACGGGTAATTGTTGATACTTAAATAAAATGCTGCAAAAATTAAATATATTTTGACCGGTCAATTGACCGGTCAAATAGGTAGCGGTCAATTGACCATCCCCAACTCTAGGTATATAGGACAAACAGGTCGTAGCTTTAAAACTAGAATAAACTAACATAGGAAATCATTTAAAAACCACAAAACAGATTCCACCTTTGCAAACCATCTTATAAAGGACAACCATAATTTCAATCCTACACGGAGAGAAATGTATAGTAAATTTTAGATAGTAAAAAAAATATAGTAAAACTTACTTTAACAAATTTTTAGGGTAACAATATTATATATTCGTCAATACAATATTAAGATTGTAATACAAAATACTATTTTTTATTATACAGATTTAGTAAAGATTACGACACCAATATTACTAAATCATAAATGTATAATATATATTTTAATTTTTAATATGTTCGTATATTAAATTGATTTTACTATCTACAAATAGTAATATTTAGTAAATATTATTTACTATATGATTCAATCAAATGTAAGGTGTACATCTAATATTATAATATATTACACATTAATAAAAAAATATAGTAAAAATAAAGATACTTTTATGTTTAAGGTAAATAAACAATATATTTAAATATAATATACAATAAAGTAACTCATGACATTTTAAACATTCAATTTTTTTAGTTTCTTCAATAAACTTTCTTGACCCATTACTGGTAATACTTATAAGAATTGAACCTATTTGGTTGCATAGTACGTACCGATTGCGGTAAAGGCCACGTCGCGACGCGTCGTTAGACAGTGTGGATCACGTGATGTTCTTACATCTCGCCTCAGTTGGCTTACCAACCCTGTTATATAAGCTCAGGTATTTCTTTGTTTTGGGTGTGTTTCACTACTACAAGTTGCTCGACAGTGTAGTGTCGACACTGATGATACCCAATATAGGTCAAAACACCTGTCTGTCGGTATTTGAAGTTGATGGAATGCACTCAAAACAAAAAACTTTGGCGAGGTGTAGGTTCAATTCTTTCTCATAACATTTTTGTATATTAAAAAGTTTAATAAATATGTTACAATTTCTAATTGTTAACATATAAAAATATTTGGTTTTAAAATATTTTATATTTAAAATGGCAACATAATATTTTAAAATTTACTATACTTATTAGTAATGGAAAAAATCTAATTATAATACTTTTACCTTAAGGTTTAACATACATGGATATTTAAAAATTACTAAATATGCATAGTATCTGGCAATATACAAGATAGTTGTACCAAATAGTAATATAAATTATAGTAAAGGGTATTATAATTATGGTAATCAGCATTATACTTTTCTCTCCGTGTAACATTTAATAATTTTGTAATTTTGTATTGAGATAATAAAATAATATTCACATTTACTGTTATTTTACAAAAAGGGCACCTTATTACGACGATTGTATGACATTTGATAACTGTCAGCTAACTTCAGCCCGTGACTATAACGCCATAAAGTCACATCTTGTAAATGTGTATTTAAAAAATTACTTAGTGTCATGGAAACATGTACGATAATGAGCGTTTTAAATGTGGAAGTAGAAATTTTCGTGCAAACAACAGTTCTGGGTACTTCCTTTGTGAATTTGATGTTGGGATGAATATTATTTATAAAATTTTAAAAAATATTTAACTGTAAAGCATGTAAGTATGTTATATACATATCGGTACCAATACAAGAAGTGTTGTATATGTGGGTATTTGTGGATGATGTGATCTAAATGATTAACGAAGATGTCAGCTAAAACGTATATAGGACAAACATGTCGTAGCTTTAAAACTAGAATAAAGTTTATTTATATAAAGTTTATATATATGTTAGTTTATTCAATAAATTAACATATGAAATCATTTATAAACCACAAAACAGATTCCACCTTTGCAAACCATCTTATAAATGACAACCATAATTTCAATCCTAACTTTTAAAATAGATATGAAACTGAATTTATTGGAGTCCTTGGAAATTATCAAATTATAGAAAAAACTATAAAGATTTCAGGGCATTCCCATAATTATTGTTCCTTTAATGTATAACGCCAATTTAATCCAACCCCAATATTGTATACAATTTTTTTAGTATACTAAAAATATTACCTGTAAGACTATCATTTATATAAATAGAAAATTAATATTAGTTTGTATACGATCTGAAGATGCTACACAATATCAAAAAATTGTCATAGTTTAATAAAATAGTGAAACTTTTAGCAGTGTAATTTATATTAACATTATTTAAACGTTTAAAGCATTTATTCCAAATTAAAAAAGCTAAACTGTTATTTTGTTAATATTTTATTCATATGGTTATTGAATTCTCTTTTTTTGCTATTTAGAAATGTGAGACGCAGGCGTTGATAAGTGGCGCTAAAATTGATTCGACAAAATGTTGGGGATATATAAGGGTGGCGGACACGCAGATTCGTCCACATTATTCCCCCACTGCAGTTTCCAGCAAGTTCTTCAACAGGTAAAGGGACGCCACAACCAACAGTTATATCAGTTCACAATCCAGTTTAAAAAGTTTTATTGTATTTCCTACAAGAGGTGAGTGAATGATTTTTATTTATTTGTTACCACTAGGCTAATAATTATTCTGATAAAATGTAAAAAATTAAAATCAATTTTTTGTGAATATTTTACTTAAAAAAAAGTGTAAGTAAGTAGTAATGTATGTTGTATATTGTTAATTTTCCAAATACAAATACAGACAAAAAAATTTATTTTGTAATAACGTAGAATATAAAATATAGGAACACCAAGTATTATTGCAAAAATAACATAAAAATAGTATATTGTTGAACTAAAGCTATAATTATTATTTTTTATATACATTACATTTATCCTGCAATCAGAAAAAAAACGCTTTTATCGCGAATAAAACTTTATATTTTATTTTAAAACTTTTTTAATTTGTAAGTATTTAGTTTGACGTTTTTCCACAAATTTTAAAATTAAAACTTGTCATAAAATTTAAAATATTTTTTTAATATATAAATATATATATATTTATATATATGTATATGTACAGGGTGTCCGGGAAAAGGAGGTCAATCCGTTAACCATATATTCCTTGAGTTAAAACAATAAGACTTTCATAATACCATTTTTTAATTTAGAGCTTCATGTTCGATATACAGGGCGACAAAGTTTGAAATTTAAAACTGATTTTTTTAATAATTCGAGTAATTGATAAGATACTAAGTTTAAATTCGGTACACTACTTCAACATAAATAGTTACATTTTTTGAGACTAACAAAACAAAAAACAATTGTCAAATAATCAAAATAGGGGGGTCCAGTACTCACTGACTCCCCCTATTTTTTAGTACGTGCGCCAATGACTTTCAAACAGAATTTTTTCAGGTAATCATTTATTGTTGAAATTTTTTGTCTCTTATTAAATTTTGATAAAATGATTTGTTTTAGAGATAATTTGTAAAGTATGGGTCAGTCCATATCAAATTTTCAAAATTTAAATTTTTTTTGAAAAAATATAGGTCATGTGATATATCATAAAAAAGTTCTCTAATAGGCCTTTAAAATAAGCCATCACTCACCTTTCTACTTTTAATAGTTTACGAGATATCGCTATTTTTGTAAGTACTTGCAAGACCCAAATTTATCGGAATTTTTTGATTTTCAAAAATCAATAAAACAAAAACCACCTATCGAAAAAAATTCATATATGGGATTTTTGAGTTTTTTAGTGAGGTAAACAAATTTACTAAAAATGATCAAAATCGGAGATGGTGGGGGAAGAACCTTTGGTTGATTTGATATGGACTGACCCATACTTTACAAATTATCTCTAAAACAAATCATTTTATCAAAATTTTATAAGAGACAAATTTTTTTTAACAATAAATGATTACCTGAAAAAATACCGTTTCGAAGTCATTGGCGCACGTACTAAAAAATAGGGGGAGTCAGTGAGTACTGGACCCCCCTATTTTGATTATTTGACAATTGTTTTTTGTTTTGTTGATCTCAAAAAATGTAACTATTTATGTTGAAGTAGTGTACCAAATTTAAACTTAGTATCTTATCAATTACTCGAATTATTAAAAAAAATCAGTTTTAAATTTCAAACTTTGTCGCCCTGTATATCGAACATGAAGCTCTAAATTGAAAAATGGTATTATGAAAGTCTTATTGTTTTAACTCAAGGAATATATGGTTAACGGATTGACCTCTTTTTCCCGGACACCCTGTATATACTACTTTACGCCAGTAGTCACATCAGTAACTGTCAGGTATATACTTAACTTTACTTTTAAAAATGATAATTATTATAATTGTATGTGAATCATTAAATAAATAAGAATGAATAAAATGCTTAATTAGTTTTACCCTACTGATAGCATAAAATTATTTTTTTCAATAACTTTTACACGACGCAAGATATCAAATCAAATTGTGTTAATAAAATTAGGAATTTTATTTTATTTTTAAATGTTACCAGCTGTGTAAAAAGAGTTTAAGAACTGCATAATTATTAAAAAAAAAATACCTAATATTTTTAAATATATATACATACCAATTTTAAATAATTTATCTAGTTATTAAAGATAAGATTAGAAAATTTAAAAAAACTTTAAAAATATAGCCTATAACTTTCTCATAGACTTGGCTTGGCAACTTTTTTTTAATTAAAATGACTATACAATTAATTTACAAAATAGCGAGCTGGAAGCTAATTTGCCCTAATAAAAAAACGTTAAATAGTTTTGAAAATCTTGGTATTATTTTAAAATTTGTAAAAAATGTGGTATGAACTTTGGTCGTTTTATTCTTAGTATTTAAGACCTTTGTTTTAAACTGTTTAAAGCGTTTGTTTACATCATTTTGCTTTAAAAATGCCAACCCTGTAAAACCTTTAAATAACATATGTTTTTCAAATAAATTGATTTATTTATTGTGGCCCCATTAAATTTGTCATGAAATTCGTTTTAATTTAAGTACTCACAATGTTATTAAGGTATCGTTTAAAACAGGTTTAAATGTTTGTTTAAAACATGTTTAAAACATTTGTTGAAAACATTTTGTTTTAAACATGCATGGTAAAAAAAACTTTTAAAAACTTTTCTACCAAAATAAATAATAATAAATAATGGTTATTTAGTGACAATTTATGTTGTGAGAAGGGAAGGGATTTCAAAGAAAATGTAAGTTACATTACTAAATTAATAAAATATCATTATGAAATCCAGTTGTCCGTGAAGTTTATTGCTCCTAAGGTTTGTTGACAAGCAACTTCAAAATCTCGTGATGTAAAAATTCGAAAGTTTTGACCAAGGGATAAATCCACAAATTTCTTGCAGAAGAATAGCATAAAACATATCTTATTTTTACCTATTTTTGCACTGGTGTAGTATTAAAAGTAAATCTCGTCATTAACTTTTAGCATCAGTCAGGGCCGGATTTAAACTTAGTGCCGCCCCTGGGCACTGTTGAAAATGCCGCCTCAACAGTAAAATTTTATATAAAGTTATAGTTTTGATATCTTTTTTTTTAAATTAAAATAACTAATTTATTGCAGAAAATTTATTATACATACTTCAATAACATAAAAAATATTCTTTCTGTTCTAAGAATTATAAATTTTGCACTAAGGGCGATAATTGTATTTCGTTATTTTTTTTAACAGGCAAACACGCCTTACTTTTTGAATTGCAAATTGGTCGATTAAATAAATCTTCACAATCTAAACGTTGAAGTACGTCTGATTCGATGCAGAATATATAGCTATATATATATATATATAGAATATATAGCTATAGCTAAGCTATTGAGTCTTTTTGCACTCATTGTTGAACGTAACTATAACTATAACTATAGTTTTTAATTCTTTTCAAACATGAAAACGATCGTTCTACGCTAAAGTTTGTTACAGCTAATGAAATAAATATTCGATATGCGATTTCCACGTTCGGAAACTCAGTGTAAAGGTTGTTTGCATGCAAAAGTTTCAAATTATCGGAAGGTAAATTTTGTTTTATCATTTTTTTGCCGCCCTTAAAAATTTGCCGCCCTGGGCACCAGCCCCGACTGCCCCTAGTGTAAATCCAGCGCTGGCATCAGTGCTTAAATTAAATTACTTTTTCTACCTTTAAAACACCCATTATCGTACATGTTTCCATCATACTAAGTGACCTTTTAAATACACATTGACAAGTTGTGGCTTTATGACGTTTTAGTCACGGGCTTAAGTTAGAAACAATTAGTTAACAGTTGTCAAATGTCAAACAATCGTTAAAATAAAGTGCCCTTTTGTAAAATAATACTAAATGTGAACATTATTTTATTATCTCAATACAAAAGCATTAAATAGTTTCTCAATGCCAATGTTTGAAAACTTTATATGAACATTGAACTGACCTTTTAATTTCGCCGGCAGTAAACTGGATCAAACTTAAATTCGGGCGCTGACTCCACCTTAATTAATTAATTAATTAAATTAATTTGCTCATAAAAGATTTTTTTCACTTTCTCTGTTGTTAATCCATTTTCAAGGCATTTTGATTTATAACACATACAAATTGACACATAATATACTATTAACAACTTAAAATTACATTTTAAATTTATCTTTTACTGACGTTTGTAGAAAACAACATTTTGTTCTTAACGTAAAACAAATTAACAAGGGTATTTAATTAGAAGGTGATATACAAAGTCTTGAAAGTTTTAAATACTTTAAAAGCCCTTTAATTAAATTCATATTAATATCAAAGTTTTTGTGCGTTTGCTTCAAGAGCCAAAAAGTTAATTAAGTTGGTACCTACTATCAAATTTCTAGCGAAAAGGTAAAATTAACGGTTACCTTAAATTTTAGTCTAGTTCTTTTTTAAGTAGGAATAAAATTATTCTACAAAAAAATACAAATTTTGCAGTTTATAAAAATAATAAAATAAATAACTTCGTTATTATTGGAGCTACAAAGTCGGTTTAATTATCAAATTTGTGGCATTTGTTCTTCTGATTAAACACCCTTTATATTTTTTATATATTTTGAAAGATAATTTAATTTCTAACAAAAAAATATAATTGCATAACTACCCTAAATTTAAAAATAAACAATAAATAGACAACTGTCTGATTGTTGTTGAAATAAAGTAATAATTTGGTTCTTTTAACTATCAAGTTAATTCAAGTTCAAGTGCTTATTAATGTTTATTTTTAAGTTACGGGTAGTTATGTAATTATAATTTTTTGTTCCAAATTAAATTTTCTATTAAAATATGTAAAAATATACAGGGGGTCCCATTTTTCACCATAAAGGTTTAAAAATTTCTACAGTCTTTACATTCCTTACTCAATGGTCTTTACATTTAACTCACGGACCAAAACAAACAGTGGCGGTCCGTCAGGGGAGGCAGGTGAGGCAGTGCCTCATCATAGAGAATTAAAAAATTAATTATAATTTAAATATTTTACTTTCTATAACATACTATAAATTTTTAATATTTGGATTACATGAATTGTGAAATAGTCAATAAAATTGATTATACGTGGAATACCCAGCAACATTTAAATTATTTGAA